GCGTCTCCTGTCCTTATTTGGCCAGCACAACAAGAAACCCTTCCCGACTCATCGGGGGGTGTCTTTCTCTGAATTCTATCATATAGGACTTTTTTAAAAAATGGAATAATCATTTAGCTAGACATATGTAAAAGAAACCAAAACTTCTAAGTTCAGTGTAAGGATGTTTATTGGAAAGACCTATAACGTGTATACCTGGACATTGGTGCTTCTTTGAAATATTAGAAATGCAAAATATGATCACTGCTTTCCCCTTCAGGGAAAAATTTCTCTCTCATACACTCATATATATTCTCATTCATTCATTGTGAGCTTGTCTGATTCCCATATTAGATATAGACTGCTGTCATGAACATGCACCAAAGCAAGAGCAAATATCCTGACTTATCATCATCATCATCATCATCATTATATTTTTGCTGAACTGAAAGGGGTGGGGGCTATTTTGATAGTGTTATTTTTAATGCTTGTCCATATTTATTCATAGGACCTCTGTTTCCTGGGAAACATCATGAGGAAGCTACATGTTATTAATTCAGAGGTTTTTCATAGCTTTATAAAAGGCTGCTAAGTCTTTACCCCCACTGGTATGCTAGGAGGTAGACAATACATAATTGAATTGTTTTACTCTTCATTTATGAGTTTCATGCTATTCTAAACATATTTTTGGAATTTGGAATTGTGGAAAATTGTTATTTAGTTCAGAAACCACATTTTTTGGTACTTTTTGGAAGTAGTACTGTACCATGATCCTATAACAGCTGGTTATGTTAAATTGTATTTAGGCAATCTTAGGGCCCAGAAGTGGAATCAGTCCCGGTATATTCACAAACACATGCAAATATTATTCTCTCCACAAACAGTGTACATAGAGTTTATGCTTAACTATTAATACTGATGATACATATCTAGAACGTTTTATGAAAATTATGCTCAGATTTGCATATCACAACATAGTACAGTTTTTCACTTATGATTTGCAAACCAACCACTGCTAACAAGTCATAGGACGTTATCACACGGGGGCAAATCTGCTGGTTAATCCA